CTGTGTCTTCCCGCGGTCGCTGCTGCGAGAGCGTCGTGCACGGACTACGTATCAGCTAAGTGCCGCTAATGGTTCTTGTATAAACACTTACGGTTATGTTCATTTACAACTCGACTTTTGTTTACGTAGAACTTTTAAATGGCGTTTTGTTGTTGCCGATGTGACTAAACCTATTATAGGTGTAGATTTTTTAAATCATTACAATTTAATAGTTGACTGTCGTAACAAACGCATAATAGACAATACAACATCTGTAACAGCTTGTGCGTTGCGAGTTAAATGCAGCGACATTTCGTCGGTCAAAGTCCAATCGGGTGACTCGGGTTACCATAAAATTTTGTCGGACTTTCCCGATATTACCCGACCATCCGGCACGCACCGTATTATACCACACAACACGGTACACCACATTCGCACTACACCAGGCCCACCAGTTTCTTGTTCACCTCGTCGCCTCGCTCCAGATAAATTAAAAATCGCCAAAGAAGAATTCCAGGCTATGTTAGAATGCGGTATAGCTAGGCCGTCTGAAAGTCCTTGGTCGTCACCGTTACATTTAGTACCCAAAAAGGACAACGGTTGGCGTCCTTGTGGAGACTATCGGATGTTAAACGCCAGGACAATTCCTGATAGGTATCCTATTAGGCATATACAGGACTTCGCTCACAGTATAGCAGGGTGTAAAGTATTTAGTACATTAGACTTAGTTAAAGCGTATAACCAAATTCCTGTGAGTCCTGAGGACATTCCTAAAACCGCAATAACAACTCCATTTGGTTTGTATGAGTTCCCGTTCATGAATTTTGGCCTATCAAATGCAGGTCAATCGTTCCAGAGGTTCGTGGACGAAATGACAAGAGGACTTGATTTTTGTTATTGTTATTTAGACGATTTTTTAATTTTTTCAAAGGACGAGTCAGAGCACAAAAACCATTTACGTATAATTTTCCAACGCTTAAAGAACTACGGTATGGTCATTAACGTGTCTAAGTGTGTATTCGGAGCCCAAGAAGTGTCATTTTTAGGTTATCACATTTCCGCGAGTGGCACCAAACCGCTAGACACTAAGATAGAAGCGATTAAAAATTTTCCCGTTCCTACTAACATTCGTCAACTACGGCGTTTTCTAGGAATGATTAATTTTTACAGACGTTTCCTACCGCGCGCGGCTGAGTTGCAAGCACCACTAAACAAGTTATTAGTTGGAATAGTAAAAAACAACCAACCGATAACATTGAAAGACGAGTCACTCGATGCGTTCGAGCGCTGTAAACAATCCCTTTCAAACGCTGCATTATTAGCGCACCCGGATTGCCAAGCGAAACTCGCACTTATTACCGACGCATCGGACACAGCTATCGGCGCTGTATTACAACAATTTACAGATAACGCGTGGCAACCGCTTGCATTCTTTTCGCGTAAATTAAGTCCATCTCAGGGTAAGTATTCACCCTACGACAGAGAATTATTAGCTATTTATGAGGCCATTAAATATTTTAGGCACATGTTAGAAGCTAGACATTTTATCATTTATACTGACCACAAGCCGATCAGTTTCGCATTCCACGAACGGAAGAAAAACTGTTCGCCTAGACAGTATAGGCATTTAGATTATATCGCTCAATTTACTACGGACATCCGTCATATTTCCGGTAAGGATAATGTTGTTGCCGACACTTTGTCTCGTGTCGAAGCATTGGAGCATCCTCTAGACTTAGAAGCCTTAGCAAAAAGTCAGGCTACGGACCACGAACTTCAAAAATTAATTACTGAAGGTTCGTCGTTACGTCTAGAAAAATTAACATTACCCGGGTGTCGAACCCCATTGTACTGCGACGTAAGTACACCGACATCTAAGCCGTTTGTTACAAAATATTTCCGTAGGCAGGTCTTCGATTGTTTACATTCTTTGAGCCATCCAGGCGCTAATACAACAGCGAAGTTAGTCGCAGAACGCTACGTATGGCCGAGTGTTAGAAAAGACTGTCGTGATTGGGCAAAAACCTGTTTAGATTGTCAGCGCTGTAAGATTACGCGACACGTTAACGCACCGCTAGGGACATTTAATTTGCCCCTCGCGAGATTCAAATATGTACACATCGATCTAGTAGGGCCGTTGCCGTTATCGGATGGGTATCGATATTGTTTAACTTGCGTTGATCGCTTCACTCGGTGGCCAGAAGCTATACCGATCGCGGATATTACAGCGGAGACAGTAGCTAAAGCGTTGCTTTCGTGCTGGATATCGCGTTTTGGCTGCCCGACGGACATTGTAACAGACCGCGGCAGACAGTTTGAGTCAGCGTTATTCCAGCTCCTCGCGAAAATAGCCGGATTTCAGCACAAGCGTACAACTGCTTACCACCCAGCAGCTAACGGTCTCGTTGAACGTTTCCATAGGCAGTTAAAAGCGTCCATAATGTGCCATGCGCCACAAAAATGGACCGAGTCTTTGCCGTGGGTATTGTTAGGGATACGATCGTCGTTTAAAGAAGACTTGAACGCGTCGTCGGCTGAACTTCTTTACGGGGAGCCTCTTAGGTTACCAGGCGAATTTTTTGATCCTGTAAGTTGCGGTACAACTGATGTCAGTGACTTCATCGCTCGATTGCGAGCTTTTGCGCAACAGTTACACCCGACACCAGCCTCGCGACATGGTAACAAAAGCATTTTCGTTTATAAGGACCTCGCCAATACCGATCACGTCTTCCTGCGTGAAGACGCGGTGCGGGCATCATTGCAACCTGCGTATACCGGTCCTCATAAGGTCGTTTCTAGGAACGACAAATCTTTTACTTTGTTAATTAACGGGAAGGAAGTTACAGTCTCGATTGACCGCCTCAAGCCAGCGTACATTTTATGCGACAGTAACAACAATGCCGCAACTAGTGACGATACTGTGGCTAAGGATTATACAACCCGTTCAGGACGCAAGGTGAAGTTCACCGATTTTTATCGCCCTTAACCAGGTCTCTGGAGGGGGGTGATGTAGGTGACCTCCTACATATTTGCATAAACACAACACAGTCACGCATACACGCACACATAAACACGGGTGCATGACGAGTGGTCGACGTCACGTCGATTTGTTGACCTCTGATTGGCAAATTCGAATTGCAACGCACAGCTGAGCGGGGGTCACTGACCGGTTTTGCATACGCGCGAAACGACAGTGGAGTTCCGCAGCGCCCGCGACATACCACGCTTTCGATTACGCAACTTGTTACTTTGTTATCCGAATTTGTGCATTTCTCTTTCTCCTACTTGTATTCTTCTTCTCAGTGTTGTACTCTCCTTCTTATTATTTGTTGTGGACTGTGAGTGATAATAAACTGTGTTGTGAATATAACTGTGCCTCATTTCACCTGTCGCCGTACTCACCCTTCACATCATCATCACTCACACCTTACCACACCGGAGGTGACACCACGTCACCTTCCCCTTCATATTTTTTGTTATGTAGTTTACGAATAAATAAGATATTAAATTAAGACAATATTTGGTTCTATTCTAAACTATAGAAAACTTCACATTATATGCTCATATTGCAAAATATTTTTAAACACTTTTTCTCATATATTTACAGAACACTAGTTATCGCCCGCAACTCCTTATGAGTAGAGAGATGATGAGGTCACAATAATTAATTTAATTTGAAGTTATAGTGGTTTTTAAATGTGAAAATATGAGGACGCTAAAAAAATATTTATTCTCAAAGTGGGCAGTAGACTAAAAAAAGGAACCACTGATATAGAAGATAGTCTGGAAGAACACGTAGGCTGCTATTTTTTTACCGCAGGGACTGAGTCGTTGGCGACCGCTAGTTTTACTATAAGACTGCTCCGTAGTTCTTTCATATGGTTACTTCTTTAAAAAAAGACGTCAATATTCGAACAAGTAACACTTTAATTCGTATCTCTATAAATATACTAGCGGACCCGACAGACGTCGTCCTGTCTACACGTCTTTAATTCGAATATTATTTAAAATTTGACACTACGATGGTAGCGCCGTCTGTCGGATCCAATGTAAAACATTCCAAAATCAACAACTACTAATAAATTAAAAATAAATTAAAAAAACATTGTCCAGCGGACAAAATTGTGAATCTAAACCATTCCCAGATCCCCTTGAACACACACAAAAAATTTCATCAAAATCGGTCCAGTCGTTTGAGAGAAGTTCAGTGACATACACACGCACAGAAGAATTATATATATATACAAAGATTTTGATATCGTAATGCTTTATAATTTAATCGCTTCGATAAGAATTTATCGATAAAACATCTTACCTTGTCCGCCATGTTGACGTGCAAGCGCGCCATTTTGACATTTTATTTTTTTTAAATTGAAATATGCAAAAAGTCAACAATGTTCTGCCACAATTATTTATAGTAAGATTTCTTATATCATAAAGTTATAAATGATCACGTGCTCACTTTAATTCGCTGAAATAGCGAAGCGCATCAGCTCACTATACGTCCCCACTGAGGGGCTCGGAGCCTACCCTAAGTTAAGGGTGATTAGGCCATAGTCAACCACGCTGACTAAGTGCGGGTTGACTTCACACATATCTTTGACTTTGTCAGATATGTGCATCACGATGTTTTCCTTCACCGTAACGTCGGATTGTACATATGTAAATCGGAATGGAATAACGCATTGGTACATGGCGGAATACCCAGGACCTGCAGATTGTAAGTCAACTTGACCCCTGAGCCACTGACGCTCTTAGCGAAGCGCATAGACATTTGTGATTGAAGATAAGTTGTCTATCTTTCATCGACGGATAATACAGAAATTGAATATTTATTTTTACTCTGTATTCGTTTTATTGATTTAAAACTCTTTTTTATTTAATAGACAATTTTATTTTCTTTACTGGAGTTAAAGCAATTGAAGCGCTCGTCCTGAAAAATTCAATATAAAGAAAGCAAATTTAAAATCTGAACACGTCTAATAGTTTACAAAGTTGAATGTTTCTTTCTTTGTCTCTAGGATATGGATCTGATCGAGGTCTTGTGGAAACAAGATGTGGACATGGGCTTCTCTCTCGAGGATCCTGTGCAGCCGGTGAGTTGATCTGATGACATTAAATCATCAATAAACCCGACTGTATGACACTATGGAAGAATTGAATGACACCTCACTTATCAACATTGATTTATAGTAGGTTTCTGAAAACAAAATATTTAAAACATATGTGTTTTGTCAACGATGACAGGGAGATGTTTCTGACACTCTTTAATAGAATGCTAATCTAACATCACTTGACAAAACCGTGTGGGTTTCTGAGACCGGAATCTTAGTATATAAACATATCAAGTAATTTTGACGACACAAAGATAACTGTGTTTTAAACAGAGATCTCAGAAACCCATAGGACGCAAATAACATAAATTTTATAATAATTATTCGTAGAATCATCAAACAAACATGCGAAATTAAAAATATATAGTGTTTTTTTTAATTTAACTTTTTTATAAAGGAGGGACCGCAAGCTACTAAAGTTGAGCTTCAAGACGAGATAGCTAAAGAACTGAAACTAGCAGAAGAGAAGATCCAGAAGAAGATTGAAGAGACGGAAAAGATAGAGAAGGTGAAAGCGTCTCTTCTTGATACTGATTCTAAAGAGGTTAGTATTTTTAATAGTTAATTAGTCTATGTGTTCTTCCAGACTATGTTCTATATGTATGACAAATTTCAGCAAGATCCATGCAGCTGTTCAGGAGATATCTTCTAACATATAAACCAGTCTTTCCCAAAGTGTGCGATAACGCCCCCTTGTGGGCTGCAGGTCTCAAGTTGCGGGTTATAGTAAAAGTTTCGTTTAGAATTCTCCGTTAATATACATATATAGGTCACAATAATTAATTTAATTTGAAGTTATAGTTGTTTTTAAATATGTGAAAATATGGGGGCGGTAAAAATATATTTATTCTCAAAGTGGGCAGTAGACAAAATAAGTTTGGGAACCACTGATCTAAACATTCGCATTTATAATATAAGTAAGATGTACAACAAACTCACGCCAATCCCAAAGTAGGCAGTCCACAGATCTCCATTTGGCGTGGTCCTAACCTCTCTTCTACCTTCATCTCATTATTCAAGATTTATGAAACCCTTAAATATTTTTTAAGCATAGACATTTCTTCGTTTAGATATTAGTTAGAAACATTTGACGCAAGCGCGCTTTCGTTACCAATTCAAGTGTCAGATGTAGTGAGGGGACATAAACGTTGATATCTTATTAAGGCTGGTGTTGCGATACACCGGCACTGTGTCGGATTTTCTTCCTAACACTTAATAAATCTAGAATATATGTATGTGTGGTCAACTTGTTTAAACAATCTAAGCCTAACCAAATTTTTTTACAGGATGATCCTTGGGCTGGTCTCTCTTACACTGTGGATACAGAGACAGGTAAGTTTAAGTTAAGTTAAGAATAAGATGTATTTAACTTTATCTTAATAATAGCTGTAGCCGCAATTCTATCCGCGTGGAATTAAAAAAAAACTTAGGATATGTTCTTCCAGACTATGTTCTATATGTATGACAAATTTCATCAAGATCTGTTGAGTTGTTCTGGAGATATCTTCTAACATACATCTAAACATTCGCATTTATAATATTAGTAAGATAAGTCAGATGTATGTCGAAAAGGTGGTAAATAAGCCTATTAAATTCGCTGAAATAGCGAAGTGATAGAAGGAAGGGCGATTGAATAATTTTTATACTCAGTTTTGTAGATAACTAGCTGAGCCCGCGACATCGTCCGTGTATAATAATGATTTTGGGTACAATTTTAGTTATGTTAACATTAAATATTTGTTTATTATTTAGAAATTAAAAAAACTTTATTAGTCTATGTGTTCTTCCAGACTATGTTCTATATGTATGACAAATTTCATCAAGATCCATTCAGCTGTTCTGGAGATATCTTCTAACATACATCTAAACATTTGCATTTATAATATTAAAAAAAATCGTATTTATTTAAAAATCTTATCGGTAGTTAGTAATTATCACAAAAATTGTATTTAGCAAAATCTACGTTCCATTTTTTCTACGTAACCAAACTACAAACTCAAAAACTACATTGTAAGTGTAGTAGTTTTTGAGTGCACAAAAATATTATTTAGTATACAAAACTCTTGTAAAACATATAATATACTGAAGTTTGAATAAACTGTAGAGACATAAAACTACCCCTAAAAAGTTCTCGAACATATAAGGGTGGCTCCCCTTATGTAAAGAATGCCATTTAGGGGTTGCAACCCTACTGTAATCGAGTACTCATTTATATCGCTAATATTTGTTACGTATAACTTAACTTTTATTTAAAAAAAAATGGATTTTTCTGGAGATAATTTCTAACAAACATACATCTAAACATTCGCATTTATAATATTAGTAATATAATGAATATTTTAATCAACTTTAAGCCTATTCACGATGAACAAGTCCTGATCTTACTTGGAACTTATATGACAAATAAAGTCGTATCACTAATCTCCAATTTCATCAGCTCTAAGTCCCCACTGAGGGTCTCGGAGTACCCTAAGTGAGAGTATGTGATAGTGAATGCTGGTCCAGTGCAAGACTTGACACATATGTTTGAGTTTGTCAGATATGTGCAGCATCACGATGTTTTCCTTCACCGTAACATCGGATAAATGTACATATGTAAATCGGTAATGGAAAAACTTAGTTATCTTAGTTACCCAACACTTAACTAAGACATTTTGAAACAGGCTGTGAGTTTATTCGGTTCTTTTGTTACGTAAATTCGTTACTGTTTGAATTTTGCCGAGTCATGTGACGGATGATGACTTAACGGGGGGTAACCTATCCCTAGGGTAGATTTGAAACCAAATCGATAATATTGATAAACTAGCGATCTTGCCCGCGTTTTGTCCTCGCGAAATAAAAATAAAATTAGTAGTCTATGTGTTCTTCCAGACTATGTTCTACATCTATGACAAATTTCATCAAGATGAATACAGCAGTTCTGGAGATATCTTCAAACAAACATCTAAACATTCGCATTTATAATATTAGTAAGTCTGTGCCTGTGAAAATATGTTAGCGTAACTTTATCCAACCATTTTAATAATTTTTGTCTGTCTGTATGTTTGGAAGGCCGCGTATTTTTCGGGTAATCTTCTCAACTATTGGCAAAGGAACATGGAAGAACACATAGGCTATTAATTAAGTTTTTTAAATTCCGTGCGTACGGAGCCGCGTGCTACATATAGTACGATTTACTTTTTATTAAAGTTAAAAAGTCGTGAGAAAATTATAATATAATTTTATAACTAAAATTATGATTCAGAAATTTTTTTTCGAACAAAAAATACAAAAAAAAACTTATAATAAAAGTCGATTATCTTTGAAATTTCGAGAAGGACACGTATTTGGATGGCGGCGTTCGTAATGAGTTTGAAATGACCATTTTACTATGACCCCTGGAACAGATCTAAATATGAGAAACTTAATACAATTTTAATATGGTCGTACAAACCGATGGGTCAACGTAAACTGGTCGTGTTTGGAGATTTCCATTTTTATTTGACCCGTCTCACCTTGTACGTTTGAAGTAACTTTTCCTTATTTACAAAGTCGTTACAACAATCGATGGTTCAAGAATTAATGGTCGGTTTGAAAGTGACAGCCGCGCGTTCGAATTTCAAAAAGAGTCGGCCCGTTTTGCTTTTTTTTTGTCTCGTTTCCCGCCGCCACCACTTTTCCACAAGTCATCGTATCGGCCAGTGTTCTTTGTGATTAAATATACTTTTCTCTTTTTTGCTATTATTTCTTTCTCTTTCTGCCAAAGGATCATTTTTGGGTTGTATTGACGATTATTAATATTTCGTTTGTGTTTTTGCCGAAAGAAATCATTTTTCTCTATAATTTGAATTTCGAATACGATTCAAATTTTTAATTTTTTTTTCTTTACTAATAAAGAAAGGCTGCGTCGTATAGAACATATGTTCATTAAAAAAATATTAATATACAGATGAATAATAACTGTCGCCCGTGACTCCGTCCGTGTGGAATTAAAAAAAAGTAGCCTATGTGTTCTTCCAGACTATGTTCTACATCTATGCCAAGTTTAAGTGAGATCCGTGCAGCACTTCTGTAGATACCTTCTAACATACATCTTAAAATTCGCATTAAATCTGTTAAATTTAAAATGCAGTACACAATTATGGTGCTACCAATTCCAAATAATATCCGTGAATCGATGTATTGTTACAAAATATGATTAATGTTCGTCTGTACATCTTAATTCCCTATAGATTTACAATCATTAATATTCCTTTAGGAATTATTCCAGCATTGTGAGTAACCTTTTGTGATATACATAAGGGTTAGTAAGATGTAACTAGCATAGTATCGTATTTGACATTGATTTTTTTAAAATGGGCAAAAGGCATCTAACGTACAGCCAAGTGACAGCTGGAGTTTGAATTGTTATTAATTTTTTTTAATACGATACTGGCTGAATATGTTTGTTTTTTTAATAAATATGAGTTTAGTAAGTTAGGTTATAACGCAATCACTACCGACTGCCAGACTGTCTAGACTATCCGTTAGAGCAAGAAGGACGGCATATAAAAAAAGGAGCTGACCTGAAATTCTTTCTCGAAAATGTTGCTACCTTTTTAAGAAAGAGTTTAACAGTGGTAGAGCCCGCTTTAACATGTTCGCACGAATTGTCCTCGCTCAGTGAAATACCACGACCATACAGAATACAGGCGTCAAGTGGAAGCAATTCCAACTACAGTCTGATGAGTGTGCGTCCCGGAGGCCTAATTTAGTCCTCTTTCCCTACCCACCCCTTTTCTTATAAGGAAAGGATGGGAAATGGAAGTGGACTTTCCGGATGAGAAGATGCATGGGAAGGGAAAATATTTTCTTTCTGTGCATCTTCTCCTCCGTCGATTAAAGGTAGGCAACGCATATGTAATTGCGTATGTCTATGGGCAACGGTCACTTCGCTATTTCAGCGATTTCAGGTGGTCGCTCGCTCGTTTGCCACCTTATGATATAAAAGAAATACCTCCTATACTATTAAAAAGATGTCATTTAGAGATTTTAAATTAATTCATATATATTTAAATTTAAAAGAAACTAAGCGTCCATAAATTACGTGAGGTGTTTACAGGGAGAGGGGGTCGAGTCAATACTCATCTAATTTTACATTGTAGAGAGGGGATGCCTCTGAAAATATCACGCAATTTTTCTTCTGATTGAAACAAAAAATTATACTATTTTGGTCCATTTAATCGTATAATACGTAAGGTACGATGGGAGAGGGGGTTGAATAAAATCTTAAAAAAAAATTAAAACACCTCACGTAATTTATGGACGCTTAGTTTCTTTAAAGGATTATGTTAAAAATATTTATAAAACTGTTGGTATTGTAATTTAGCTATCGATTTAAATAATCTTCCAATTTTGACAGTTATATATTATAATTTTATTGTAAATAGGCAAAGGCACAGCACATTCAGCCACATACAAAACTGACAGTAAAAAGTATGTAAATAAATTAATTTAATTTAAAACTATACTAATATTATAAAGCGGAAGAGTTTAAACGCGCTAATCTCAGGAACTAGTGGTCCGATTTGAAAAATTATTTTTTTGTTGAATAGTCCATTTATAGAGGAAGGCTTTAAGCTATATAACATTACGCTGCGACCAATATTTTTTTAATTCCGTGCAGACGAAATCGCGGGCGACAGCTGGTATAAAATATTTCGCTAGTAATCTAGATTGTTTTAGTCAAGGTGAGTATTTTTTTTAAATAACTAGGCAAAGGTTCATACGTCATTCAGCCAGGATTTGAAAAGTCGTAACACGTGTTTACTTGCATAGTTCATTGGCCGGTTATCAAATTGTTTTGATGACAAATCAAAAATTAAAAAAAAGAAGCTAAATAGCCGTGTTCTGTAGAATCATGGTGTCTACGCGTTTTGTTACGCGTACTATTTAAATTGATAACGTTCATTCATGAAGATAACAGTGGTAGAGCCCGCTTTAACATCGCACGAATTAGCCCGGCTCGCCCGGTGAAATACCACGACCACACAGAAGACACGCCTCAAGTAGAAGCAATTCCGCGTTTCGTCTGATGAGTGTGCGTCCCGGAGACCTAATTTAATCCTCTTTCCCTTCCCACCTTTTTTCTTATAAGGAAAGGATGGGAAATGGAAGTGGACTTTCCGAATGAGAGGATGCATGGAAAGGGACGATTTTCTTTCTGTGCATCCTCTCCTCCGTCGATTAAAGGTAGGTAACGCATATGTAATTGCGTATGTCTATGGGCAACAGTCACTTCGCTATTTCAGCGATTTCAGGTGGCCGCTCGCTCGTTTGCCACCTTATGATATAAAAAAAAAGATAATTAAATT